AAGGAATGATGGAGAATCAAAACATTTTAAAACTACATGTGATTATATACACTTTGCTTTGATGTTCAGGCAAATGGTACAGTCAAGCTCAAGAAATAGTTCAAGTTCGTTGACTGTATTGGAATTTACAAATGTGTCTTGAACTCTGAGTTGTTAGTTAAGATTTAAGAATAATTTATTTTGGTGGTGGCTTAAGATAAAATTTTAGTTTAATGTTTTTCCCCTAGTGGTATTTATTTTATATTGAAGGTAACTTATTTGGTTGAGATCCCACAAATAAAAAAAAAACCCTGTAGAATCTGTTTTTCTGTACTATTTTGAGTTCTCTTCTCTTTTTGTGCCTGGTCTGTAGTTTGTGTGGCTCTAACACTGAGAATTAACACCTAACAGCTGATTGAGATCTTGGGACTTGCCAGTCTTATCCCTCAGTGCTGGAGTTTTAAAATAGTTTCTTTTTGGCTGGTGAGTGAGTGAGAGTGTAAGTGTGTGAGTGTGTTGTTGGTGGTGGGCAGGGGGTGAGGGTGGGGCGGGAGGGCACCAAAAAAAGAAAGAGGCCAATGAAGGTATCAGGATTGTTTCTTGTCTTCAGCCCAGCCAGAGGATCATGTTTGATGTCTTTAGTAGCAGAGGCTTTCTCTGGAGGGAGAAAGAATAGGAGTTTTTAGGATGAGCTGCATCTGGAAACCAGTGATTTAATCTTGCAGCCCACTGTCTCAGGCCTGGGTGAACCACTTTCCCCAGGAGATTACAAGTGGTGGGATCAGTGAGAGGGGATGCTGAGGAAGGACTTCCTTGTCTCCTCCCTGGTGATTTTCCTGGGATTTCTGCTGGCTGCTGCAGTTATGTTCTGCTCTGTGGGTGAGGAAAGCCCCATGTTTTCCTTCAAGGAGAAACATGTCTTCTCTTTGGGTTTAGATCTAATCCAACTCTGGACTACTTGGCTTTTTAAAAGCAGCCAGCTGCACCTGCAGGCAATAGTAAAGCAGGGAACAAAATATGGATTTATGGATAATGATGTTCTAGGAGACAAGAGTGGAGGGATGTTTGAGGGTTTGGGCATCTTTTTCCCCCTTTCCACAATGAAAGCAAAGTAAAATAAATGCCATTCTTGTTGCCAGGAGCCTGTTGAGTCCCTTCCAAAGCACCAAATCCAAACCAGTTGCCATCATGTCGATGCTGACTGATGGCAACTCCATGTGCTACAGAGGACAGCTGCTCCATAGTGTTTTCTTGATTATAATCTTTACAGAAGCAGATCACCAGGCCTTTGTTCAGCAGAGCCACTGGGTAGGTTTGAAGTGGCAAACTTTCTGGTTCATAGTCAAGTGCAAACCGTTTGTGCCTTAGCCAGGCAAATATAGCAAGCCTGCTTTGACTTCATTTCTTTTGAGTATTTTGAACAGAGAAAGATTGGAGCCATTGGATTGTTTCAGATGAAAAGCCTGCAGATATAAAAATTCTATAACTGAAATAAGAACAAGGACTCATTCCTTCCCTGCTCTGATCACCTCATATCATCCTGCTTCAAAAACCTGCAGCAGCTCCTCATTGACTCTCTATTATAGTTCAAGGAGCGTGCTGAGATATAGTGATTCTCTCGGCCCTGGGGCAGCAGGAGCCTCAAAACTGGTCTTGGAGGTGGGTCAGGAGGACTATTTGGCCTGAAACTTTACATTCAATTAGGGACTCAAATTTAAATTTTGATGTTATCTTCAACATGGGCATTGTTTTATGTGTGTGCTAAAAGGATTAATTAGTTAAATCTAAACATTTAAAAGCAACCACAATTTTTGGAACTCTGTTTTGACATTTCTCACTTTTTAATATGCCAGGAGCCTAAAAACATGGAGATGCCGCCAGCCCCTAACCTCTGAGAGGCCCTAATTACTTGCTACACAGGCTGTGTAATCTCTGACAATACAGCGGTGGATGTGGAGGCTAATGAGGAGGACAGACTTTCAATAACTAATCACACAAAACTAGTTGCCGTCAAGTCAATTCCTGTTCACGGCAACCCCATGTGTGTCAGAGTAGAACTGTGTTCCATAGAGTTTTCAATGGCTGACTTTTTGGAAGTACATTGCCAGGTTTTTCTTCGGAGGAGCCTCTGGGTAGACTCAAACCTCTAACTTTTCACCTTTTGAACCAAAATTGCTCATTTGGTTTTACTTGGTAGCTTGGGGTGGGTTGAAGATAACATGAACATGTTTAATAGTACTGTAGGCTATTTGCTTTGGAGTAACTCATTTAAATTCTCACAACAGTTTTATGAGGTAGGTATTGCTATTTGTTCCATTTTACAAAAGAGGAAACTGACGCAATGAGAGGTTAAATCATACAGCTAGTAAATGGTAAAGTTCAGATTCAGATCCAGGCAGTCTGAATCCAAAGTCCCTTCTCCTCAGTTTTGTATCCTATTATTTTTACTAACTATATCCCCTATCATTTAAGATATTTGAGAACCTTATTTTTAGTGGCTGCATAATATTTAACCCATATCCTAATTATGGGCATATATATTGTTTTTAATTTGGTACCTGCATTTCTAATTATATCTTTAGGATAAATTCTTTTTTTTAAACCATTTTTTAAAATTGTGCTTTAGGTGAAGGTTTACAGAACAAATTTCTTTCTCATTAAACAATTAATATACATATTGTTTTGTGACATTGGTTGCCAACCTCACGACGTGTCAACATTCTCCCCTTCTCGACCTTGGGTGCCACATTTCCATTCGTCCAGCTTTCCTGTCCCCTCCTGCCTTCTTGTCCTTGCCCCTGGGCTGGTGTGCCCATTTAGTCTCCTATACATGATTGAGCTATGTGTATTATTGTTTGTTTTATGGACCTGTCTAATCTTTGGCTGAAGGGTGAACCTCAGGAGTGACTTCAGTCCTGAGTCAAAAGCGTGTCTGGGGGCCATACTCTCAGGGTTTCTCCAGTCTCCATCACAGTCTCCATCAGACCAGTAAGTCTGGTCTTTTTTTGTGAGTTAGAATTTTGCTCTACATTTTTCTCCAGTTCTGTCAGGGACCCTCTGTTGTGATCTCTGTCAGAGCAGTTGGTGGTGGTGGTAGCTGGGCACCATCTAGTTGTGCTGGACTCAGTCAGGTGGCTTTGGTTGTTGTGGTCCATCAGTCCTTTGGAGTAACCTTTCCCTTGTGTCTTTGGTTTTCTTCATTCTCCCTTCCTCTAGATGGGGCGGGCCCAGTAGACATATCTTAGGTGGCTGTTCACTAGGATAAATTCTTGTAAGTAGGCTTCCTGTACCAGAGGATATGAAACTTGTGAGACTTCTTAAAACATACCAAGTTCTTTTCCAGAAAAGCTCAAACAATTTATAGTCTGTATATATTTTTCAATTCCATATGGGTGCCTAAACCAAAGCAAACAGGAGAGCTTAGTAACACTATGATAAAAGTGGTGGTTAAACTAAGAATCCAAGGATTTTAAAGGAGGAAGTAACTCCAGATATCATCTAGGTCCAACTTCTCCTTTTAATAATTAAGAACTAAGGTTCAAGAGGTTAAGGGACATGCCCCAAACCTCGTCACTAATTAGAGTCAGAGTTAAGACAAGAACCTGTATTTAGCACCATGTGATATAATGAATTAATCTCTTGGATGGTTTGGATGATTCACAGGGGGCTCGATGGGTAGAGATGGGTGTCCTGAAATGTCCATTTAAGTTCTCATCTGCAGATTTGAGACTTTTAGCATTTGGGTCGGCTTCACAGTTTCCTCTTGAAGCTTCACAGTTGTGGCAGAGGGATGTGAAATTAGCCCAAAGGGGTCTGGCCTGAACTGGCTGGCCCAGTGCCCACTAAGGGAGGTAAAGAACTCCCTGCTGAGCCAGGGGAACCCTGAAATCCCCTTTCATGAGTTCTCCTGGATCTTGCCTCGTGTCATTATCGACAAGGATGATTTTAGACTCTCTTCCTTATTCTGCCGATAGTGTAATACATTTGAAGAGGGCCGCTCACCTAATCCAAAACTCACATAATTCAAGACTGTGATTTTCTATAGCACTGACCAAAAATGGAGAGTATTTCTGTTTACTAGCCAGAGGTGGCTCCATCATGTGGCAATAGTGTAAACAGAATTTATAATCTGATTTGTCTCGGTATCTGTATGGATAAGTTGGGCTAAGCTGTGGTAACAATACTCTTCAAAGTGTCAATGACTTAGTACAGTAAAGGGTTGTTTCTTGCAAAATCTGAAGCAGGTTGTTTGGCCTTCCTCCATGTGTAGGTATGTCATCTGAGACATGGTTGCTAAGGTGGCCAAGGTAGGGGAGTAGACAGATACAGAAGTCATGTTACTTTTGCTCATAGCCCATTGGCCAAAACTAAAAACATGGTTCCAACCTAACTGGAGGAGAGGCTAGGAAGAGTGTGGAGGAGGGGCACACAGATATTTGGTGAGCGTTAATGGTCTCTTCCACATGTTTGATGCTGGATACTTGAAATTATCTATTTTAAAAAATTGTGTAGGCAATTTCATATGATTTCAATTTTTTAGGCATGAAGGTAGAACTATCACGTTACTTTAAATATGATTAAACTGCAATTCTACAGTGAAGTAGATATTATCATTAAAAAAATCCTTTTGTGCTCCCTGTTAAAGAAAAAGAATGAAACTTTTACTTAATAGTTGTGAGACTTGAGCAAGTTATTTAACTTCTCTAAACCTGTATTTTAAATTGAAAATGGCATAATAATCCCGCGTTCGCAAGTGTGTAAAGATTTGGTTGGAGATTTCATATAAAACATTAGAAATGGTGCCAAATGTGTTCAATGAATGTGAGTTTTTCTTCTTATTGGTATTGCTGACATTGTAATGGATCTACTACTGTCAACAGTAGTATATGATCTTTTGAAATCAGTGTTGAACCCACAGTCATCTGAAGACAGTGCACTTTATGGGAACAAGCAATGTGTTGACCAGGTTCTGGAAATGAAATGTCTTCATTTTTTGTGTGTTCTTGTCTTACTAGGTCAAGATGGGGAGTTTCAGAGGTCATGCTCTCCCTGGAAGCTTTTTTTGTTTCATGGGTCTGTGGTGGAGTACGAAATACATTCTAAAGTATGCCTGCAAAAAGTACAAGCGAACTTGCTACCTTGGTTCCAAAGCATTATTCCATCGAATAGAAGTTTTGGAGGGAATCATTATAATTGCCATGGCTTTAAGTGGTGAGTGGACCATTTCTGTGTTCTGTTTTCTCCTTTTGGGTATTTTCATATGCAAAAAAAAATTTCAATATCAAATCAAGGAATTGATAAAATGAATTTTTTATTCAAATTTTTCTTAACACATTCTAATTATAGTTTGTATCTATATAGTTCATTAGGAACATGATGCTTCTTGTTTATAAAAAGGCCTATACCATGATGAATTAGCCATAGTAATTAATTTGCCCACGTAGTCAAGGTGGATTTCCTTTATAGTATTGTTTGGAGCCTCTGAAATAATTTTGTGTCAATTATTCTGATGCTTGAAAGAGTAGACTCTATCAGAAACAGTTTTTCAAAATGACACTAAAATACTGAAGTTGTTATGGAAAATCATCAGTAATAAATCATTGCTGATAGGCTGAAGAGAAGGGTCAAGGCTGAGGAAGTCCTTGACTTATGTATTCATTCTTTTCTCTTGATTCCTAAATTGGAGAGGGAAGTCAGGCCAGATGACTTCTAAGACCCTTCCATTGACCATGAAGACTCTGTGAAAATGTTCTGTGTTCTCATAGTTCAACTGCAGCCTCTTTTTTGTGAAAACTACTTGTTTCCCCACTGGATTTCTTCATCTTTATTCATGGCAGTAGGTCTTTGCTAATGGTTTTCAAATTACAGAGATGGTCATTTCCAAAGAGAGGAGCTTCTTTGCCAAATTCTATAGATCAACAAATAAAACATCATTTCTAAAAAGTTTAACTGTTTCCATAACTGACTAGACCATATGCTCTATCCATCTGAACATTCTGAGTTAACTTACTCGGGAAAAGCTAAACACTTCAGCATTTTTATCCTGAACCAAGCACAACCCCTACTTCATGGCAGCTACCCAAAGATGTAATGTCTAAGAAGGAAGTAATCAGCTTCTACAGGACAGATTTTGCAAATCCAAACACCCAAACCACTCAGGATTTGCCTTAGTCACTACACTGGAATAGGCAGCGGAACTAAGGTCATCAGCCTTGAAGATCTGAAATAGCAGTTTGACTAAAATTAACTATCTGAACTTGTATTTGAACCTTAAAAAAAAAAAAAAAAAAGCCTTAAACACCAGTGCTCAGCTATTAGTAAACGCCCAGGAGAGAGGAATCAGTGTAAAATCAGTGTAATCAGTGTAAAAAGAGGATACTAGATTGGAATAAGCAATGGGCTAATCTTCCCACAGCTTTGCATTCTGGGTTAGGTTATGGAGAGTGTTGTTAAAACTGTTGTATGTTCCTCTGCAGGGATGACTTGGGAACAGTTTGTTCCTGGAGGACCCTACCTGACCTTATATGACTACAAAGAAGGCCAGTGGAACCAGCTCCTGGAATGGCAACATTGCACTATGTATTTCTTCTTTGGGCTGCTTGGTGTGACAATTATCGTATGTTACATGAGTCGTTCGCTTCCTGTCTCTTTAGCCAAGTTAATGATGTCAAATGCCTTTTTTGTGGAGGGTAAGTATGAGAGAGAGAATGAGAAAGGAAGAATGAGAGAGAGAGAGAGAAGGAATCAAGTGTTCAAGTGAGGAACACCATAAAAGACAAACAGTGGATGGCCTTTAGTTTCATTTAAAGAGAGAAACTACTTTTTTTTTTTTTCCTTCTTTCAGCTTTTATCTTCTACAACCACACTCATGGCCGAGATATGCTGGACATCTATGTCCACCAGCTGCTGGTCTTGATCATCGCTGTGACAGGCCTACTTACCTTCATCGATTTCATGAAGAGCAACATAATTTTGGAGCTTTTGCAGCCAAGCTTCATCTTGCTTCAGGGGACCTGGTTCTGGCAAGTGAGTTGAGGCTTCCTGTTAATGTACCTGGTGTCTCTGCCTGTAGCCTTCTCTCTCTGTTTGGTGGGCCAGCTTGCTCTAGAACCCAGAGGCTCCCCCTGCTGCCCCATGTGCTACCTGTAGTGAGAATATGGGCCTCTGAGAGGTGATGTTTCCATTTGTGTCCCAGCAGCCCTGGTGGGAGCATTGACTGAGCAGGTGGGAAGGAAGTGGAGTGTGCGTATCTTCCTCACACACCTGAGTCTCCATTATGTAGGAACTCTTAACTGGTGCTTTTAGTTGGAAGCAGTTCCTGACTCTAAAGCAGTTTACAGCCTTCTGGTAGCTCAAGAAATATATGGAAGGCAGGAAATGAAGGAAACTATCATTTGTTAATAAACAACTGTGTGCCAGTCACTGTACGATACTTATATATACACATTGTTTCATTTTGTCCTGACAACGAACTGGACGTTACGTATTATCATCAGATAAGGAAAACTCACAGAGACCAAGTTACTTTCCTGGGATCACACAATAATGGAGGTAGGATTCAAATGTGGCTCTGTCTGTCCTCAAATCCCAGGCTTTTTTCCTAAGAAAGAGCTGACTAACGTTGGTATGTTGTTGAGAATATGAATTCCAGTCAGTGAACACACACTTTATATAGAGTCTGATAAATCATGATCCAATATACATATATAGATGTAAAGAAGTCTGGAATGGAAGCTTCTAAACTAAAAATCTTCTTTGAAGAGATTTTTTAGTCACCAGAGAGCAGGGATTGAGATGATGAAATTATTTCAGGGATTTGCATTTCCTATGGGGAGTGTCTTGGTCATTTTGTGCTGCTATAACAGAAATACCACAAGTGGATAGCTTCAACAAAGAGAAGTTTATTCTCTCATGGACTAGTAGGTTACAAGTCCAAATTCAGGACATCAGCTCCAGTGGAAGACTTTCTCTGTTGGCTCTGGAGGAGGGTCCTTTTCATTAGTCTTCCCTTGTTCTGGAAACATCTCAGCGCAGGAACCTCAGCTCCGAAGGATGTGCTCTGCTCCCAGCACTGCTTTTTTGGTGGTGTGAGGTCCCCAACTCTTTGTATGCTTTCTTTTCCTTTTATCACTTGTAAGATAAAAGGTGGTGTAGGCCACACCCCAGGGAAACTCCCTTTACATTGGATCAGGGATGTGACCTGAGCAAGGGTGTTATGTTCCACCCTAATCCTCTTTAACCACAGGAAGAGATTATGATTTATAACACATAGGAAAATCACAAAATGGAGGACAACCACACAATACTGGGAATCATGACCTAACCAAGTTGACACATATTTTTGGGGGACACAATTCAATCCATGACAGGGAGTGATCAGAAAGCACTGGAAAATGAGAGACAGAAAAAACATCAAGATCAAAACGAGAGATCGGGAAGATGTGATATTTAAACATGCAGAGGAGAAGAAAGGCTGTTGGGGAGAAGGCTAGTGAAGGGGGCTAATTATTTTAGTTATTTGGTTGTTTTGAAGGAATAATGACAGAAAAAAATCACAAATATTCTATAATGTGATAACTGATTAACTGGTGTATTTGGGGTCCCTGGGTGGTACAGATGGTTAATGTGTTCAGCTGCTAACCAAAAAGTTGGAGGTTTGAGTCCACCCCAAGGCACCTTGAAAGAAAGACCTGATGGTCTACTTCTGAAAAATCAGCCATTGAAAACCCTGTGGAGCACAGTTCTACTCTGACACACATGGGGGCTTCATGAGTTGGAGTCAACTTGATGGCAACAGGTAAGGTACAGAAGTTGTTTTCTAGATTATTTGTCATCTGCTGGGAAACCAAATAGAGGTAGAATAGTATGTAAAACACTGTTATGCCCTCTATACCTCTTGATTAAAATGTTTTACCATGCACGTATATTATGTACTCAAAAATAAAAAATAAGTGAAAAAATTTTTTAAAAAGATGACTTCTGGCTAAGATGACACGGTGAGTTTATGCTTCAGGTGTACCTTGTCTGCTCCAAACACATAGCAATGAGAGACAACATATTATAAAATACCTGGAAAATAAAAATAAATAAATTAAAAAGTGAAAAATATCTAGCTGCAACAAAACAAAAACAAGGAAAGCAACCTTGTAATCCAGGAACAGAACAGAAATACACAGCAGGAGCAGGGCAGGCCTGTTGGCTCCAGTTCCAGAGTAGACCATGGTGGCTAGTGTTTGGACCCCATGGAACTAACCTGTTGCCGTTAAGCAGATTCTAACTCACAGCTACTCTATAGGACACAGTAGAACTGCCCCATAGGGATTCCGAGGCTGTAATCTTTACAGAAGCAGACTGCCACATTTTTCTCCCATGGAGCAGCTGGGGAGTTCAAACTGCCAACCTATCAGTCCGCAGCCAAGTGCTTAACCATCAAGCCACCAGTTCTCCATCCATGGAGCTAAAAGGACGTATAAGGGCTCCTCACAAGGTCAGGGATGAAGCCAGGCTCTTGAACCTCTTTAACTGTGTTATTTATATATTCTGTATCCCTAATAGTTTTTCATCTGATTGGTCTCTCACTTTCTGATAGAGGTCTGTTAAAGATTTATATGATAGTTATAGATGTGTCAATTTCTTTTTCTTCTTTTTTGCTTTAATGTTAAGAGGCTTCTCTTTTTCTAACTTATTAAGTTAAAGGTCGAGTTCGTTTATTTTCAGTCTTTCTTGTTTTAAAATACATACCTGTGAGGTTATAAATTTCCCTCTAACAACTACTGGAGCTGCTTCCCAGGAGATTTGAAGTGTGGTAGTTTTCATTGTTGGGTAATTTTTAAATGTTGCAATTTTCACGTGCTTTCCTCTTTTAACTTATGAGTTATTAGGAATGCACTCTTAAGTTTCCAAATATATTCTTTTTCTTTTGTCCTTTATTAATCATTTCTAATTTAATTGCTTTATTGGCAGAGAATGTGTTCCATATGGTATAGATCTTTGAAATACATTGCAGCTTCCTTTGGGTCCTGGCTCATTGTCAGTGGTTGTAAATGTTCTATGTATTTGAAAAAAAAGTATATTCTTTCTTTGTTGGCTCATGATATAGCGACTAGATTAAGTTTACTAAAGAGCTAAATATTCAAATAAAAAAGTTAGAAAGTAAGAAAAAGAAACCCAAAGAGAATTGAAGAAAAGAATAATAAAGAGCAGAATTAATGAGATTAATTAGCATTTGATTAATAGTTGATGATTAATAATGTTTAGCATCTGAGAGAGGAAGCTGTGGGCTATATCGTAACTGAGAACAGGTTGGCTTAATATTGTGCCTTTTGGCAGAGACATGATGTTTTCATCACCCCCCCCCCAAAAAAAAAGCTTTTCTAAGGAAGAGATATGAGGTTAAAGACTTTGGGCATAAATTCTGTGATTATTTAAAAATGTTTTCGATCTACCTAGATGTCTAGAAGAGTTTCCTTTTTTACCTGGTGGCCAGACTAAATAATGTCTGGAGCCTTACAGAAGAATGAACATTTAATACCAATGCAAACACACACACTGGCAGGAAATGAAGTTTTAGCCATAGCACCCCTCTCCACTCCTGAATTCTGGAGACAAAAATGTCTAGAGATTAAGTGAATTTATTATGCTTCCATGTTTTGTTCCATGTATGTGTGATGTATCAATGTTTTATGGCTAAATCTCTGTCTTAAGCTCATAATGTTACATCATGCTTTGCTTTTCACTATATTTTTTTCTCTTGCTACTTCTCCATATATGGTTAATTTTAGTTCATATTATATATACATAGAGAGAGACAGTTTAGAGAAATCACACATCTAGACTCTTGGAACCATAAGGGTGGAGATATGAACTAAATGAGGCAAATTCTTAGACTGGCCACATTTTTATAACTCATAAACAAATACAGTCATGCGTCGCTTAACCTCCGCGGTACATTCTGTGAAGCAGGACGTTATGTGATTTGGATGTTGTATGAGCACCATATTATATACTTAGCAAAGCTATATGGGTTACTGTAGTGTACCTGTATTGACTAAATAGCCAAGATACTGTACACCTACAGTACTGTATTTCAGCTAATGTATCTGGCAAAGGGAGCCCTTGTGGTACAGTGGTTAAAGCACTCGGCTGCTAACGGAAATGTTGGCGGTTCGAACTCGCCAGCCGCTCCGCAGAAGAAGGATGTGGTAGTCTGCTTGCATAAAGATTTACAGCCTTGAAAACCCTATGGGGCAGTTCTACTCTGTCCTATAAAGTCACTATTGACTTGACGATGGTGGGTATGGTTTTTTTTTTTTTATCTGGCATGGTAATATATGGATTAAGTAGGTTAATACTGTATAATACTGTATGCATAATTAATAATACATTGTAAATATACACTACTGTATACATGTTCCACTGAAGAGTGCTGTATACATAGGCTAATATATAATTTGCACTTACCACAATTGGAGCTTGCAGGACTAATATAGTGTTGGGTGAGTCTAGAGGCTGTTGCTGGTACAGTTCTGTACTGTACAAGATACTGAACTTACACTAAATTACTATAAGTACAGTATACACTATAATATACTGTACAGATGTATGTACAATAAATACTTTTCCTATTTTATTTCTATCAACTAACCTTAGGCTACTTTGTAAACTTCCTTTATTTTCAAACTTTTTAATTCTTTGATTTCGTTTTAACCTTTTTAATTTTTTTTCACTTTTTAAGCCTTTAGGTAAACCCTTTCTTAGCCTATAGCATACAAATTTAACAAAGAGGATCCAGATCATTCACATCATCACTGTTTTCAACTTCCTGATAGTATTCCACTGGAAGAGTTTCTGGTCAAATAACCTCCATTGATGAACTGTCACCAACAATGATATCTCCTGTGATGCCTTAAGGACCCTGGCTGAGGCTCCTCTTGGGGAGGTGTTGGCTTCTTCAGGAATATATCCAGTGTTGTTTGCCTAGTTTGCTTTTTCTTTTCTTTGTAAATATCTTTATATGCAGCAAACAC